GACTGTTCGAATTGTCACACAGACAGAGCCACCATTTGGATTAATGGAAAGGGCACAGGGATGTGATTTAACGCCTGGGGGTGGGTTTTGAGAAGGCTGAAGGTTGCACCCTTAGACTTCTGGCTGCCTCTTGCCATTTCCATGAGCACAGACATCGATGTCAGGCAAAGAAAGAGCTTCAAAACCAGGACTTAGGTCTTACTGGTTAGTTCTCCCTTGTGAGACAACACAGTGCCTCCCCAGTACTGCTCTTTGCTTCGCATCCTCATTACCATATTTTTATAAAGCTCTCATTGCATAAAAAGTTCCCTCAGTACTCAGATGAGCCGTGACATGTTCACCATGTCACGTTTGATTGCCACCCGCTTGGTCTCAGCAAAAAGCTTGACAACGACAGGGGAGAACGTTTCTGGAAAGAGATTTGTGGATTAACCTGGTTTTCAAGAGATTTCAGTTCCCTGCCCAGCTCTGCCTGCATGATTCTTAACAAGTAACTCTTCTACTGGTCATCCCATTAACTGCAGGGCATTAGTATGCATTTATTAAAGTATGCAGCACTCCTGTGTTTATTGAACTAAAGTCTACACAACTGGGATAAAAATCAGGCTGGACAAATGTTATGAAAAAAGCCCCAGGTCACTTCTGCTTCTTCCTACGGCATCTGCCGTATGGAAGGAGAAACTGTGTGTCTTCTATTTTCTGTACTCATAGCAGAGCCAATCTTTTTGCTTCTTCATATTTTTTTACTTCTTTCAGGTTGATAGCAAAGAACTGGAATCAAATTGTTTACGACTATTGGTTAGTCACTACGTCCCCGGGAAGAAATTGCTCTTTTGTTATTTCATGGTGCTGTGCTTTCTTAAGTGCAACTCTCTCAGCCTCGGCCCACGCGGGGAGATCTGGCCAAGGGCTTTTCAACACTCCTCAGCATCAAGATGGATTTCCATGGTGGGGTTCTGAGGAGCAATCTGGCAGTGGCTGGTCTTCATGCATCTTCCCGACAGCCAGAAAATGTGTCAGTGGAAACGCTGCATAACTGCAGGAACTGCTCAGTAGCACTCTCTTCTTACCTCCCCTCTCTTTAATTTGAAGGACTTTTTTTGAAAACAGGACTCAAATAAAATGTGTTGTGTATCTGTACAGGGATGCAGGAGCCCTTTGATATCCCAGCTCTCAAAAGAGTGTGTGGGACCAGAACCCCAAGTTTCTTGAAAGGCCCCTGCAGGCTGCAGGTCCAGAACAACCCCAGGGCATCACACACGTCCTGCCCTCTCTGAGCACTGTGTAAGGAAGACGTGAGGGCCATGGCATCTGATCCCTCTCCTCACCAGCAGCCTCCTTAGATCAGAGAGCAAGGAGGGAAGGCACAATTACAAGCCTCTAGCTGCCAGTGAAAACTCATTCCAGCTGCGAATGTGCCAAAAGCTATTCCTTTCTCCTCAGCCTGAGCCAAAGGGACACGAGAGTAGTGATGAGATCTCTGTCCAGGCAGATGATGACTGCCAGACACTAGCTGTGAGTAATCCTTGGGAATTTGGGAAGAATCAGAGCCATATTCTGATCCCACTGCAGAACGTGTGTCTTTTTTATGCGACACGGTGTGGGGAGGAGGGAAGGGGTGGTAGGACCTTCGTTCAGGTAATCGCTTCCTCACTCCACCTGAGCTCTGAATCGCTGATGCTGCCTCAGACCCACCACTGAAGCACAGTGACTTGAGCTGATTCAAGTTTGGACACCAGCTTTAAAGCGTTTGGGAGTACCAGCTACTGAATAAACTAGTCTCTGCCTTCATTATGGTGCCTGCGGTACCGGCAAACGCGAACACCTTCTCATCATCTTCCAGAAACACAGGCTGGCATTTCCAGTTCTTTATCTCACAACTGCCTTAACTTGCAGGAAAGTAATGATCCTGAGTCATCCTTTCATCTCTACAACACTATGGGAGAAGAAAGAAGGGGGGGGGGAAAGAGAGTGTTTATAGCCTGGCCATAAAATTGTTTCCTAAATGAAGTCAACCGTCCTTCAAATCTCCAGTTGCAATGAGAAGTGACATACACCACAGCAATTTATGAGGAAACACATCACTAGGGAGAACTGTGATCAACTAATTATTTGTCACTTCAGCACAATGTTTTAACAGTGCGCTGTTTAACTAGACCCAAGACAAATGTAATTACTAATGTAATTTCTGCTTCTTAATTAATACTGTTAACATCTGCCCATTGCTTCCCAAGGCTTCCACTGCTTCCCTTTGCCTACGTGTGTGTGCATATTTGTGCCCACAGGCAATGCCATTCCTGCTTTATTATCTCTTGGCAGCTGAACCAGACCACTTCAAACCTGGAGGAGAATCAGGCCCTCCCTTTGCTGGGACGGCAACAAGACTGCCATCGTTCAAGGATGAGTGGAAAAAAAATGCCTGTAGCTACATCCAAAGCCCTTGCCTTTATTAGTGGAAGTATTAACGTTTTCCAATGTGCTTTCAAGTTCCAGCCAAGTATTTTGCCTTCAGTTTGGAGCAGATTGTAAAAACAGCTAAGTCATATAAGGCCAATAACCTGAGGATGATCAGCTGCAAGAGTAACTCCTACAGAAGTGGGCAGAAGGTGGCTGGTCCAGAAGCAGCTTTGGAGTTTGAAGGACCTCCCGAGATTGATTTGAGCATTAAAGCCCTCGCTCTTCTCCAGTGGGGAGCAAATTTGTGTATGTAGAACAAGGAACCCCATCACAGAGATAAACAATACTGGTCTAGAGAAGCACTAAATATTGTTACCATTTCTTAGAAAGTCCAAGCGTCATGAAGTCTAATGGTAGGAAGCAAGAGGACAAATAATACCTAAAATATAATACACAGGAGTCCAGGTTCACAAGTAGTTATTGCCACAGATGTCCACTGAACCCAGAAAATTGCTACCTACTTATATTTGGCGCTTAATCTTCAGCCTGGAGAGAGCTGCAACCAGGCCAGGTTCTTGAGACGTTTGCAGTTAATGCAGACCCATATTCTACAGGCAGCCTGGTTTGAATGGGAGGATCTCGGTAACAGAGTAAGTAGCTTTTGGAATAAGGATGCCAAGATCTTGCCTGTTAGGTTTAATATTTTAATCTGTTGTCTAAGTGTACTGCTGCTCTAATCACAGCTCTAGTGGAGTTGTTCAGTAGTTGAAGATCAGAGACACCACTGGTAATCCCTGCTGTGCTGCACAGATGAAAGCTATCAAGTGGATTTAGGGAGGAAAGAAGGTACATACAGAAACTCATTATTTTCCAGTTGAGACAAAACTATCCATTAATATCTGACACAGAGCGTACTCCAGAAAACTAGAAGAAGATATTGAAAATTATCAAGTCCCAACAAGCCTAAGGTGTATGTGATGAACCAGTTATTAATATTTGATCCAGCAAGCTCTGTTACTAAGGATGGGTAGCATTCCCGTTGGTATTTTTAAGCCTATATGCCCTAGATGGCATTGCTCTGCAACATTAGAAAACATACTTCTAAAATCCAAGCTCTCACTTCAGTCAGCACAAAAGAATTTTAGGCAGGACAAGTGTTGGTTTAAGTTCACACACACAAAGATAATAGCAGAGTTCTCTTTTTAACGTTACTTGTTTGAGGCATTTCCACTGCAGCTGATACATTAATTATGCCACTTTTTTTTTTTTTTCCTGTTTTTTCCACCCCCCCTCATTCATTCTTTAAAGGCTCACCAGTAAAAATCTTCTTGTGCGAGAAGAACCTTGGTTTGAAGTGGTTTCGTTGCACCTGCTCTCTCCAGGCTGTGGTATTTAATTGGGTTTGTTTATTCTGGTGCTCCTCTTCTCTAGTGATTTGCTTGGCACTGGGGGGAAGGCTCACACCAGTTACAGGGCGCCCTTTGTTCCCGACAGCCAGAGGTTGAAGATGAGCCTTCCTCCTCTCTCAACGCTCGCTGTGGCCCGCTCCAAGCAGCTGGAGGGGAAGTGGGCAGATACTGGGCTCTGCTGAGAGGGCTGATTGCCATCGCAGCAGGTGTGGAAAAAGACAAAATCAACACACCTGCAGTTTGTCCCGAGCCCCATGGCTGCATACTTCCAGGAGCTTTCTAGAAAGCATGATGTGCTGGGAGTACGTACCCCTGCGCATCCACCTCCCGGCCCCAAGGGTTAGCAGCTGCAGTTTCGAGGAGCTGTGCAGCCCACCAGCAACCTGAAGGTTGTCTAATAAAGGGTTTTGGCACTGAAAGCCCTAAACACTAAGTGATCATTCTCCAGGGTGTGGTTAACGTGTCTAGGCACCCCATGCGAGGATGGGGAGAAGCCTCAGGTGGGAAGTCCCACCAGGCAGCTCACTGAGCTGGGTGGGGAGATGCCTGCAGCTGAACCTCCAGGGCTGGGACAGAGGGTTGCATGGAAATGCCCCAGCCTTTCTGGAATGCATCACCTGGTCCTTCCCTCCTCTGAAGAGGTGGCTCTATCCATGTCTCTTTGCAACTGAATGGACATTGCATTCCTTTTGGAAAGCTGAGCAGTGGTGGCAGGTACCTCCTGCACTGGGAGCACACAGCTCCTGCTGCTGCCCGCGTCCTGGGAGGCTGCAGCCCCAAGAGGCTACAAAAACATTTTGGGTGGAGGCTCGTGTCCAAGCTCTCCCTCGTTCACCAGATAAACAAAAAGGAAGGCAAGGGCTTGAATTCCTCAGGCATGAGATAAAAGCCCTGGTTCCTCAGGCGCTGATGTTGCACAGGGCTGATGTGGGCAGTTGTGCAGCGGGACCGTGGGCTGTGCTGTGGAGGGTCAAGGTAGGCTTAGGGAGCAGGGCACGGTGTCAGAATTTCCTTGGAATGACATTTTGGAAGGAAAATCAGTCTCATGCTCCAGTTCAGGCCAGGGTATGTATTATGGATGTACATACAGCATAATTTGTCTTGCAGTATAAAGGAAAGATCAGCCACAAACAGGGGGGTTTGTTTTGTTTTTTGTATGACTTTTGTTTTGGTTTTTGTATGTGTTTTGTTTTGTTTTTTTTTTTTCCAGATGTCACTCCAAAGATTAAAACAAAGAAGAAAAGACATTTCCCCCAGCAGCAGAGACATTCATTAATCAGTCCTTTTGCAACACACGATTTCGGAACAACTGAAGACTTCCAAGTTATCAGTCCGAGGACGCGATGCTGAGAACAAGGAAGATGCAGTTTTATTCAAGCAGCAAAGGATGTAACAAACAGGTCAAAATCAACTGGGCAGAGCCTGGAGGGAGAGGGTTATCTGCAAGGGTTACTGAGAAAAGTTCTCTCACCTCTGGAAGCGGTATTTCAAAGCAAATAGCTCTCAGGGTGGCAAAGACACAAGTCAGGCCTCTGTAAAGCAAGAAGTGCCAGAAGTGACCTCCAAAGGGAAAATGAATAGGATTTGTGCCTTAGTTTGGCATCTTTATGATGGATGGAGAAGGCCAGGTAGGAGAGGAGAGTTAGTTTTCTTTTCACCACTTTGTACTCATGCTCTGATGTTCCATTTTTTCCATTCTGCACTAAAACCACACATCTTTGCTTAGGCAGGGTTTGTGATGTCTGATGAATAACGGCAAAGACGACACAGCAACAGCTTCTAAAAATGCAAAAGTGAATACATGAATATGAAATAGATACTTTCCCATAACTCCTCCAGCAAAAGCAATGATGGCTTGCCTTAACACTCCAGTTTTCCTAACTTTAACAAAAGCGGCTAGAAATTCAATTACTCCCCATGACCTCTGAAAACTAATTTCTAGCTTTTCAGGCTGTAAGTTACACAAAATTTTTCTAAAGTGAAGTAATCGCTAGGCCGAATCAAAAAAGATGCATATTTGGCATATCACCTTGGCAGGGGGTAGGGAGTGAGAGTATCTTCAGAGTCCAACAGCCAACTGGCACAGCTCCAAACTGTGACGAAAAGCAAGATTATCTTTGAACCAGAAAACTGGCCACGGGGAAGTCTCTACAGAGACACAGCATCTGTACGGATTCCAACATACCTTTTGGGCTGCCAGCACACGGAGTTGGAAAGCAAACAACTGAACTAATGGAAAATATTTTCGCGGCAACTGCTGGGCTTGCACCGATGTGAAGATATTTTCTGCATTAACATCAAAGGCAGCACCTCATCTCTGTGCTCACGGACAGAGAGGTGGGATCAGCGTGTGTGCCTTTTCCGCACCACAAGGGCTCTTCTGCACCTGGAAACAGCTGCGGGGGTGTAAATAAATAACCTCTCCTGCCTAAGACATACGTACCACTGCTTCTTGTGGACACGGTGGGTGCTTCAGAAGAAAGACACCATTTTGGCAGCAACTGTTATGAAACACGAGCAAAAGGCATTTTAGAAAGTCAACTCTATCCCAGCTGAAACCATGACAGTGAGGTAGCCGGTCCCAATTACAGGGCTTTTCATTCAAGGATCTCAAGCCCTTCTTTCAGATAAAGTATAACGGGGAGAGGATGTCAGCTGAAGGGTCCCAACATTCTCAAGCCATGAGGAGAAGCAAGGAGAGTCCTGTCACCACGGCAGGCTCAGATTTAGGGGGGAAACTGCAGTCTCTGCTCAGCTGGTGCAGTAAAAAAGCAGCACAAGTATTTTACTGCTCCAGAGGTGTGCCTTTTAACGAGCCTTTTCCACAGGTTTTCTGCAGCTTTCTGTAATGGCAACTGCTGCATCAGAACCCCCCCCCGTTATTATTCCAAACATTACCGAAAATATTACTCCAGAAAGAAAACTTCAGAGGGAGGACTGGATCTCCTACCCACGGCTGTCAGTGGCTGAACAGTCACAGGCACAGAGTCCTTCCAGCTGTGAGAAGAGAATAGCTGACTCCGGTGCAGCGATTTCAGATCTGCATTGCTGCAATGGAGCAGAATTTGACTCATTACAATAAGAGCAAATAAAATGCCCCACGTGTTTGTTTCTGTACGGACTCCGACACGTAGAGGTCACACAAGCCAGCCAACTTCTGCATGGACCACTGCCCCACACCTTCCCAGCAAACACACACCAAGTGGCGAAGGAAAGACAAAGAATAAAACCCCCCCTTTTCTTCTTCCTTCACTCCCTAATTCAATGCTCAGCTCTCAAACGAGTGGTACGAAGTATTCTCAGAATTAGGCCAAAAATGAATAGAACATTGGGATTGTGACCCACAGGGGTGCTCTACTCCTATGTCCAAGCACACCCTGAAGTGTTAAGTTAGTACAAAGAGAGGATATTTTTATTGATAAACATTATATTGTCTTAGTGTAGATGTCTGACACATTATTAAATCAAATGACAAAACATTTAAAGTAATTCATTCTAATAAAACTTTTTGATATTCCATAGACAATAGTGCTGTGAATTTTGTTTATAGTATAACACATTAAAAACACAGAAATACAAGTTTCTAATTTCATAGGTTACCAGCAAACAGAGAAAAATGCATGCTTTCATTTCTGTTAAATTTGTAACTTACACAGGCAAGTGGAACAGCTATGCATAGAAGACTATTCTACAAGTTGTAAAACAAACATATAGAAAGACTGACCTTATAATACTTGTACAGGTATGACAAAACCATTGTAACTCATTTCAAAAGGTAACAAATGTTTTGTCTGTGGCTCCACCGTTTTAACACTTCGAAGACGACTTAATAAAAAGCTATTTTGACTAGAATCGTGTTACTAGAAACCACCGATTCCTTTGTTTTCTGGCTGGCTGTAAATAAACATACATTATATGTGCATTTGCACTGCATTTCCACGTACATTTTCTTCCTTACAGTTAGAAGCATCCCAGAATCTTCCCTCTCAGTGAAACGGAACCCGGACAGCGTGGTTTGACCCCAAATCAAACAAAAGGTGCTCTTATCAGTCACTTTTATTGCTGTGCTCCCTGCACCTTTGATGCTGTGACTGCACCAGAAAACTCACCACGCACACACATTCCAAGAGGTCTCTATGGTTTCGTCACGGTCAGTTTTAGAACAAGCTCAGAACACGTTGGGATCGCATTCGGTGGTCAAAGACTTTCCTAACGGTACAAACCCCAAGTTTTCCATTATAGCTCCACAAAATTACCAGATCTTGAACAGCTAACTGCTGGGCCACGAGATGATTTAAACACCACCCTCCACTGCCCCTTCCCCAGTTGCAGGCACCGGGTCTCTCCCCGCCTGCCCTGGTGGTGCAAAGCTGATGGCAGGGTGCAGACCTGGGCTGCCTCTGATGGTGCTCATTAGGTCAGGGACACCACCGTGTAAATGTGACAGTTTGGGCTTGGCTCTGACAAAAAAGAAAAAAGGGGGCTAAAAGTGGCCCTTGTGCAAAGAAACCAGCTGTCCTTACACCTGCTGACTCGCTCTTACAGGGTACGTACCTGCAAACTCACTGCAACCACAGGGGCATGGGGGGGGGGGACAAAGCCCCCGCGAGGAAAAGAAAACAAAGGGGAAGTTTCTCAGAGAGCCTGCACCCAACAGCACCCATTGCCCTTTGGTGGCGAGCAGGGGCCCAGCTCTTCTGAGAATTCAGCCACGTTTTTTAGTGCATAAATGGGAGCTATCTAAAGTGCTGGTCAAAAAAAACAAACAACAACTAGATGAGCCAGGGGAGGAGGAAGAGGAGGAGGAAGAGGAGAGGAGGAGGGAGAGGAGGAGGAAGAGGAGGAGGAGAGGAAGAGGAAAAGGAAGAGGAAGAGGAGGAGGAGAGGAGGAGGAGAGGAAGAGGAAGAGGAGAGGAGGAGGAGGTGGTGGAAGAAGTGATGTAGGGGAGGGCAGGAGCCCCTGAAAGTTGTGCAACGTACCTGAGGATGAATGGGTCTGTGTGCTCACCTTTTTGTTCTAGCCAAACGCTGATGTACCAGTGTAGGAACCCCCATTGCCAGGGCTGTAGGCAGAAGTGAACTTCACCCCGCGGGGCTGCTCACCAGAGGAACCATGGACTGAAGAGAAGCACCAGTCCTGCCCTCCTGCGCGGCCCCGTTGGCTGAAGCTCTGAGGGATGCGCTGAACTAATGAACCTGAACCCTCACCAAACCTTACCGACAGGATTTCGGATCGCACAGGAGGACCTCGACAGCAAAAAAAAGTCCCCAAACCCCCAAGAAACATTTCCTAGTTTGGGTTCAGTCTTGAAAACACTCCATGTGAGGATGAACAGAACCTATCGCTCCTTTAGTCATCTCTTACAAATACTGTCTGCGTTAATGGCCTAGTAATGACTCTCAGCTTCAGAAGGGCAGGCAGTGAAGCCAATCAAACTATTCCTCAAGGGAACATTAAGCAAAATTTGTCCCTAAATCTTCAACACGTGGCAAAGTCCACTGCACAGCAGCTCATCTCTCAGGTATGCGGGTTGCTACCAGCAGGTTTACACAACCATTAGTGGAACAGATAAAACACATACTTGTGAAGCTTGGGTAAGAACCAAGTTGGAGACATTGTTTTTGGCATATCTCTTCCCCTCCCCCTGATAAAGGGATGCAGTATTTCTCACTGGGAAGGAATACCTTTCATCAGGAGGGCGAGAGTTGTAAAGATCAAATAATATCCGGGCACAAACCTCTGGGTAAATGAAACCCCTGCAAAACTTGCCAGTTTTTAATTACACACTAACCAGCTCTTTGTGGTGCCACATCATTCTCGTTTGCGCTCGCTCTCCATGGGGGCTGAATAACAACAGAACCATACTTTGTATCCTTTGCTTCTATTTTCTGTTTTTTGAAGAAATCCTTAAGAACTGAGTCAAGTCATTCCACCAAACATCTTGCTTTGGCTTCTTTCAAGAGCTCGTCGTAGTTCAAGCTCTGTGCTTGCTCCTTTGACCTTAAGCATTGTGCAATTTCACAATACAATTCTGAGATGCAGGAACGTATGTCACAGAAATGTATGTTACACCCGGAGGTTTTGACTCACCAGTGAGAACTACTGAAAGAAAAGGATTGTTTCTGAGAATTTAGGAAGAACGACTCGGCTGAGCTTTGTGCTTGACAGAATGTGGAAGCTCACTTTATGTGAATCTCGAACATTATACGAACCTTTCCGAAAGACTGATGCAGTACTTTATGCAATCAGCCTTTATCTTCCAATTTTGTCTTTTCTAATCAGAAAAATCCCCGAGTCTTTAACAGTTCATGAAATACAGGCTTCCAGCTTTCCCCCACCAATATGCTGACTGTAAAATGACTCCGTCGTTGTTCTTGTATTTCCCAACAACAAGCCCTACTGTCACTCAGCCATAGCAATGACGTGATGTAGTCTTCTACAGTGGACATCTCCTGACCTCCTTGAAACCGAAACAACGCAGTAGAAATAGGGAAGTGTCACATCTGGGAGTGGTGGGACCATTTTTACTACAGGATCCCAAGGCGGAGAACCTTGCCTACTGTAAATGGTAATTACCCCGTCATAAAGCTGGGGCAATAAACGTCAGCTCCGCCCAAGCATTTGCTACCGCCCGCCATCCGTTTGAAAGAGAGCTCTTCACATTTAGCCACAGCCCTTTACTATGAAGGGAGCTGGGGAAAACCAGGCAAAGGAAGATTACTTCCTGGCTAAAAGAAAATTACTAAAAATTCAGACCCCATAAAATAAATAAATTAAAAAAAAACCCTACTTGTTGGTATCTTATGAAATGTGAATTTTAATTATTGCAAATGGTACCTCGTGACAGTGATATTTAACACACATTAGAGTGCAAAGAGTACCTGCTGTTTGTATATTTCTACTCTTAAAGATCAAGAGGTGAGCATTGCAGAAGCATCTTTGGGTCTCTCAGCGTTCCTCAACTTCTCAACTCTTATAAGTTACAAGAAGCATCAGCGAAGGTCTCGCCACTATTTGTGGCCACCCAAAAGGATTGTACAATGCTTTTAATGGCTTAGTCTGCTCGGTCCCCGATTCAGGAAAACCTGACCTTAGCTTTAGGTGGGGAACGAATTTAGATGCCTAAATCATCTGCCAGCATGGGGAGATGTCTTCTTGAAGCAGGGGCTCAGCTCTTAGTGTACGATAAATAAATAAATAAACTGTATAAATACTTCAGTGCAGAATTTCCTGGCCTCCTCAGTATCTCATGCATGCTCTTTTTTTTTTTTTCTTTTTTCAAAGCTGTCTTTACGCTCAGAAAATGCAACTGCAATTTCAAATGACTAGCGATAATTACAATTAGAAACATTACTGAATGTACAGAGAGAACCTGTTTAAGCTTTTGACCTGCTGTATTATAGATATGCAACTGCCATGCACTGCTCACAATATCTGGCCGATACAATGTGGAGACAAATAAAAACTGGTAACCATCTCTTGCCTTTATAAACAGATGTGTGTAAGACTACCTGAAATACTGACACACTTAGGAGTTGCCATGACAGGGCTTTACCCCTATGCAGATGGCAGCTGGTTACTGCAGGGCTTCATTTTCACAACAATGGACATACTAGGTAAAGTATATATATATATTTAGGTTGTTCGAATATAAATCTACGTTCATATATTTTAAAAAAAACCAAAACAAAACACACCTAAAAGCTGCCAATGAACTTATGAACTTATGACTGAGTCCCTCAGTAAAACTAGTATAGTATAGTCTGGCTTCATGAAGCATAAAAGGCCCAGGTCAGAGCTGTAATCCTTTAATGAGATCAATTATTCTTATTGTAGAATGAGTCTCATTTGTATAACCACAACTGAGCATGGCTGTATCCATTCCATTCATTCCGAGGCCACTTAAGATACAAAATATCCTCAAATGTGCAATTTTTCCTTGGAAGAGTCTTTGAAAAGACATCCTACGAGAAGTCTTCTCATGTAGTTACGACTGGTTATTTCAACCTTTTGGGGCATTTTAAAGGCAGGCAGTAGGCTTACACTCTTTTGGAGTCAGGTTGTTTTGAGACTGGTGTGCCACCCAAAGATTTTCTTTCTCCCATCGGTTTAGTCTATCACAGAATCACAGAATATCCATGGTTGGAAGGGACCTTTGAGATCATCAAGCCCATCAAAACCCTTCCAGTACCTGAAGGGGGCCTACAGGAAGGCTGGGGAGAACCTGTTTAGAAAGGCCTGTAGTGACAGGACGAGGGGCAATGGCTTCAAGCTGGAGGGGAGCAGATTTAGATTGGAGATTAGGAGAGGGTTCTTTACTGTGAGGGTGGTGGAGCACTGGAACAGGTTGCCCAGGGAGGTGGTTGAGGCCCCATCCCTGGAGATATTCAAGGAGAGGCTCGACGAGGCCCTGGGCAACCTGGTCTAGTTGGGGGTGTCCCTGCTGACTGCGGGGGGGTCGGACTAGATGGCCTTTGGAGGTCCCTTCCAGCCTGGACCATTCTATGATTCTATGATTCTATGAAACTACAGCGTTGCAGCGTTTATCTTCTCCCTTGCCTTCCCCCAGCCTCGTTCCCTTCCTCCCTTCCCAGACAGCTTAGTTCTCGTTGCTTCAGCATTTGCTAAGAAAATGACAAGATGTAATTCTAAGGCTGCAATAGCCAGGCAAGGAGGTTTGCCCTCTGCTAGGGACTGTGTTTGGCTTCTGTAGCCACAGTGTGACATCCTGTCGAGCCATCCTATAGATTAACCCCGTCTCAACACAGGCTGCCCTCAGCAAAGTGAAGTCAAGAAGCCACACGGATGCTAATACTGAACCAGGTCTTGCAAACTGTCTTTCATTACCATAGTCCCGCCAAGAGTAATTAATGCCATTTACACACACGTTGCACCAGGGCTCGAAGTCAGGATGCAAAAGCATGCTTCCGTAACATGACTTTCAACTTAATTTCAAGTGCTGGCTCAAGAGCTGTCAACACCATCAGAGAGCCCTGGATGTGACCCTTCATACCCCACCACCTTTATGCCTACAGATGCAGTGGCACGAAGCTGGGACCCGCGAGAGAACTACTGCTGTGGCATCTTAGCCCGAATTTTGCAAAGCGAAATCCTTTTTTTTCCATCTCCTCCAAAAGCAAACCACATCCTCAAATTCAAAAGCCCCTGCCCGAGCCCTGCGCGTGCCTCAGAAATAAGAGAAAACGCTAAATGAATCGATTAGCAGATGGCAGGCAGAGGAACTGCCCTGCTCTCCCTGGTGTGCTGGCAGGAGCTGCTAGGAAAGCAGGGTGAGGGGGGCACCGGTGGTGCCCGTCGTTACCAGCCCAGCTGGACACCTGCCTGCAGGCTACAGCAGAAAATACACTGTGCAACCCCCCCCCCTCCCTCAGCAGGATGCCCAGGGCTTGGGCTTGATCCAAAGCCCCTTCTAGCTCCGTTAGAAACCTCGCTTTTAACGTCAGGAAGCTCAGCGTCAGGTCCTGTTTGCGCAGGAGAGCGACTAACATGGGCTACTGCCTTCTAGAGAGGCAGACAGGACAGCGATAGACCACCTCAAGGCAAAATCTACGGGGGGAAAAAAATCTATTTTCCTAAATAGCATCGGCAGTGAAAACCTCAGCAGCTGACTGCCAGCGAACGGTTTATTTACGAAGCCATCTAAAAGCCACTTCCCATATTTTAAGCCAAGGCACGTTCGTTAGGGGCTCTCCTCGTCAGAGTCATCTGCTCACTGACCACATGGTGCTCTGCTCCCACAAAATCCTGCCCCAACAGGAACACTTTGCTGTGGCTGCTCCCTATGAGAGCCCCCACTGAACGGGGTCTATTTAAGTGCCCAACAGAAGCAGAGCTGATGCCGCTGGTGCCAAAGAGCTGGGTGTGCACTAAACCACGTTTCCCAGCAAAACACTTCAGCACATGCTCATCTTTCAATCGACAGAGCTCTGCTACTTTCTGGACTTGCAATTTAGGAGCCTGCATGAGCACAGCCTGGCCCTAACGTGCCAGGACCTGGATCAGGCCAGGGAAGAGGTGCAAATGCCCCCAACCCCTTGCCCTGGGGTGGGTATTATTCAGGAGTGGCAGGCAGCATCCTCTCTCCACCCTCAGAATCACAGAACCTTCTAGGTTGAAAGGGACCTTCAAGATCATCTTGTCCAACCGTCAACCCAACTTTGACAAAAATAGACACCCGCACAACAAACAAAAAGCAACACCATCACTAAACCATACCTCCCAGCACTACATCAACCCATCTTTTGAACACCTCCAGGGATGGTGCCTCAACCACCTCCCTGGGCAGCCCATTCCAATGTCTGAATGGGAGTGTCCCTCGGGAGCAGCACTTTGGGTGTCCCCAGAGATGCCGCGAGAGCTCCGAAGGGCTCTGAAGAGCCCGGGAGGGCTCCAAAGTCCGTCCCAACTGAGGAGGGCTGGGCAAGGGCAGCGTGGTCTGTGGCTACCCCGACAGCCTCTGCCACAGCCCACACAGCTATGCCAGCTGGGACCAGAGCTGCCCGAGGTCCAGCTTTCTCAGGAACCACAGCAGCCATGGAAAATGAAGGCTGCCCAGAACGGAGAAGCATCCCAGAGGACATGAAGGACATCGGTGCTCCTGCTATCCCATGGCTGTTTCCCTTGGAAAACTCTGAAACTCCAACACTCACTAAATGGCTGCGGCTGTGCAGTAGCCATGCACCCGTAACGCTGATGGTACCACTTCTGGACAGAAACTATTCCAACAGGTCTCCTTCAGAGATGTGGTGGTTTGCTACCCAGGGGACTGCTTTACTGAGGTGACCCCCATTGGTCATATGTAGATCCCACTGCACGAGTGCAGAGGTCTTTATTTTTCATTCCCAATGGCAGTTACATATCCCTGTGATTACTAAAACTCACTTACAGGCCTCTTTCTCCACAAAACCTTTCTGCAGTTAACCCCTTCCACAACCAAACCTCTATCTCTACGTGCACAAAGTGAACGGAGCGCTTGTTTCCTCCCCTGCTCCAGCACCTCTCAGCCAGGAGACAACGCTGACCAGAATTAAGGTAAGCCTTGGTCCTAAGGAAAATCTGTGTTTCTACTATGAAGGAGGAGTAACTACCATTCCCAGCTAGCAGGCAGTAACCAGTAGCCAAGGGGTGGTGGGCACCAGCAGCCCCTTCCTCTCATGAGAGCATGAGATAGACAAAAGATCCAGCAACAGGGATCGCTCCTCACGGAATCCAAGCTCCCCACGTTTTTCTCACTGCTGGGAAACCTGGGAGGCAAATGCTCAATGTTTGAGCATTTCTGTACCAAACTAAAACCACCCTCGTAGGTTCAGGCATGCGATGTTATGTTTTTCCCTCAACTGGCAAAAAAAAGTGACGTTAAACTGTTGCTGTAAAATGGTCGTGTTGACTTCTAGCACCATTCAAATCCTGCCCGGCAGAGGAAGGTCGTACTGACAAAATTTCTGTCCGGTTGTTTTGGTATGGAAAGTTTAAAAACTTGTTCTGCAAGGTTATTAGAAAAGTAAAATAAAAAACTACCTAAAATATACCATGATAAAGTCATTTAACTATATAAATCTGTTACAAAATCTGTTGCTTTAAAGAAATTGTGCTTTTTTTTAGAAGCTTTCCTGAAATCAGATGGTTCTGCCCAAACTTGGATAACTTGGCTTAGATCTCTGGCTGTTTCAGGGCGGTGAACAATAGATTTCAGGGCCAAATTATATCCCTTGGTACGTAATGAAACAAACGGCCATTTCTTCCCTCATTGCTTTCCTGTGAATAAAGAAAACTTTTAGAAAGTTTTACAAGGCATGGATTGGTCCACACCTGAGACTGATTCTAGAGATTGAAATGAGTCAGAGCAGTTTGGGTGGAAGTAGATGCACTTCTGAAATACGCTTCAGATTTGAGGCCACTAAGTGCTAACAGAATATTCACGTAAATTCCCTTAGAGGTTCCTAGTTGTATTAATAGTTATTCCTTTATCTATTCAGATAAGAAAACAAAAAGTTCATTAAACCTTAAAAACAGTCCTTTTTTAGGACTTACTGCTGTGAACATGTGCGCTGATCCTACAAAACGATCCCTGGGGTTTTGCTGTTGTTTTCAATAGAGGTCCACTTTCACTCAAGTCAGTGAATATTGCAAACTCTCTAACTTTAAGCCTTGCATTACACTTGGTCCACCCGTTCAGCATATCCAAACTCTGCAGTTCCTTAAATTTGAAGTGAAGTAGCCGAGGTCTTCCAAATAGTCAAACTTCCACCACTTTCCTTAAAAGCACGGCTTTAAACTGATTCAGTTAAAGTTGTACAAATCTAATATGGACGTTCTTACCTGGATTTAAGTATATTTTAGTTTAACTTACAGTGGCTACCGATCAAGTGAAACTTCATGAATACAGGGCAGATTTAAATCCAGTTAAGCATGGTCCACTGAGAATGATTTTTAAAGTATATAAACAAGTTTAAAGCTCCAGTGGTGCAACTTTGAAATAGATAAAACCTTACACTATTGCATCTCTGTGAGCTTTATCTGAAAGGAATAGGGCTTCCAAAAAACTTGATATAAGAAACACCTGTCAATCAGCAAAAAGTTATGGTTTTCTAAAAAGTTATCCAACAATATTCAATCTACATTTTATCTCACAAGTATGAATAGGGTTATTTGGAAAAGGCATATAAAAAATCCTGTTCTGACAGCAGGGTGTTAGAGGTTACCCTCAGGTTGCTCCACCTACATCGAATGTTGTTTTTCTAAAACCACATTGCTGTTCTGTACCTGATTTGTATCATCAAGAAAAAAGCCAGTCACGCATCCATCCGAATGTTAAGAATGAGCATTTGTTTCCACAAGCACTAGTATCACAAATCCAAAGCATGCTAATAAATTGTTTTCAACGACACAGCTGAGGACAGAAAGCTAAAAACCAAGCATCACAGGAAAAAAAACCCCAAATGATACCAGTGAAAATCTCCTTATATCAGGCTGGTGTTCCTACTGTAGAAACAACCTACCAAAAAAAGTGCAGTACATCAAAAAAAATGGGAAAAAAAGGCAAAAAAAAGTATAAAATTCACCTTTGGTAGGGACAAAAGCAGTTTTTCCAGCATGTCTTACGACCTCCTCATATCCTATCCTGTCATTCTGCCTTTGAGCCACTGTCAAAGGAAGGCCATCCACATGTTGAGCAGAGTTGA